AGCCCCAAAAAAAAAAAAAAAAAAAAAAAAAAAAAAAAAGGCAAAAATAGGCTAGAAGTCACCTTCCCCTTTGTTAGATGTGAGATTTGCAGAGGATGGAAAAATAAGAACAAGGTTGTTTCACGCATTATAGGCCCATGAATTCTGCCTGTGGAAAAACAGGCTGATGATGATCAAAGAAAGCAATCATGTCCCTACGCCCAAGGTTAGGCCTGAGTTCCTTGGTCATGTAGTTTACAGAAGTAATCACAGGTTTCAGTATGCACCTTGCAAAAACAAAATTGTGAAAGGAAACTTAATGACCCCATTGTGTGTAAGGAAAAATAGATGGTTAGCTGACCACACGCTTAAAGCTTTTGTCCAGCCGAAAAAGGATAGGAATCTGAAACCGCAAGCAGCCACTACAAAAGACAACTGCTGGAATATACTTGGCTTGCTTAAATCTTTGTTCATCAATTATAAAAGAATCATTGCTTTGGGGTGAAGATACTGTGGTGGGAAAATTAATAAAAAGAAAAATGTCTATTTGTGGGCTTCTAAGAAAAACATGTAATCTGTGATCTTAATGTGATTTCTTCCTGTGTAAAGATTTTAATTGCTTTTGGATAATATGTAGCTTGTGGTTGTGAGGTAATCTTTTCTTGAATAGAAATTTTTGTCTTTGGAGGGATAAAAGGGATATGAAAAAAAGTAAGAGAGGGTACAGAACAATGGAGAAGAAAAACAACTGGGTGGAAGAACAGAGCGGAGGAAGAACAGAGTAAGGGCTAGAGAGAAAAATTAAATGAAGAATTAAGTTTTGCCTCTCAGATAAAGTCCCTGCGTGTGTCTGTGTGTCTCGCCAGCTGTTAGCCAACTCCACATCTCTTCTTCAGTTTCTCTGATCTGCTAGGAGCTGGCTGTCTCGGCACTTTACAAAATGCATGTGGGTTATTTAGTTCATATAAGACTTAATTCATATATCGAGCAGAGGTCCAGAAAGTACTAAGAAGTCTGATTGAATGGTTAGAGCTTAGACATACGAGTTAATGTAAATAAAAGGACTTTCATGGAGGACTAGGAGATGGTAAAGCTTGAGGACCTGAGACTGACACCCAGAACCTACCTAAAAATGTCACTTCAGCCTGATTGGTGTCCTCCAGACCCATGAGAGACTCTGTCTCAAAGGAGGTAGATAGTGTCCCTGAGAATTATACCTGAGGATGTCTTTGAATGAAAAAATGAAAGGGGGGACACTACTGCTCCTAAGGGGCTGAAGTTTTTATAATAGGTACAAGGGAGAGCACATCAGAGGTATCTGGAATGGTCCAAACTGAACCAGGCCATTGTAGGAGGGCCAGCCAGAGAGAAAAAGAGAGGAACCAGGGGCCAAGAAGTCAGGAGAGAGTCAACAGGCCAGTAAACAAAAAAGACCATATAGCCAGAATGGCTGGGTTATGTAGGGAAGAGAAGATGGGGGAAAGGGCCCAGTTGAGTCTCTGGGCTGGAGAGTTTAGAGTAGGGGTGGGGCATGCCAGCCCAGATGTCTCTGTAACAGTTACTGGAGCTGCTGCAAGAGATTGGAGGACAGTGTCTGCTGTCTCCCAGGTTTGAGACCTAACAGTCCCCAACCCATGCACACACATGCAACACACATACATACACTAAAAGACAAGACACATGAGCATTGTTCAGAAGTGGCGTTGTGAAATGGAAACCACATCATGATGTGCATTTTGCTGTATTATGGATCTTTCGAATGTAAGTAAACTGGTATTTGAATTATGATTATTGTGACTATGTTTTGACGGTCTTAACTCCATTTTGAACACCCTTTTGTCATACAAGCTGTAACTGAGGCAAATAACTGATCTATCATCTCGACAACACAGTGACAATCACACTGTAGGCCATATTGTAGGCCAATATGCAAATGAGACTGCTGGGACATGGGCCTTTTAGATATGACATTTCCTTATACCATAATGACCAGTGATTCAGGTTGCCATTTGTGACACATCTCCTGACTTGATTCTATCACTCCCTCTGAGCTGTGCATGTGGAGACTACTGGAACAAATGAGTCCTTTTCTTCAATGCTGGTGACTTGAGGGCAATCCGGACCTTTTCCATTGTCATCATGAAAGGGACCAATCTCTGCAACCATCTATAGGATTTCATTCATGAGCATATGTTTGGTTCATGACTAACAATGGAGCTCAAGTATTTTCTTTTATCTACTTTTGCCTATATATCCATATAGTCCTGTCTCTTATTTTTGTGTGTTCTGTCTTTGTGTTCCTTGAAACAAACCAATTAACTTGTGGACTAGTTTTATGACTTGCCATTTGACTGGAGAGTAAAGAGCCTGCTCCTCTGGCAGGAGCTACAGTCGTTGGGTTTGAAATTGTGACCAGGTACCAAGGAACCAGACTCACCTTGGCTGGTCCACTATGACAAAATCGACTTCAAACTCTTAGTGCATTAAGAGTAGCATTAGGCAAAAGTTAGTAACATTATGAGTTCTCTCGTTAGGTTAAGGGAAGTGAAAAGTGGTATAAAGTCAGAGGCAAGCTTGAGGAAGCCCATTTTCACTCCTTCCTCACTCACACACCCACTCTGGAGCACAGAGCTTCCCTCTTCTGTCGTCACCAACACCTCCACACTCATAAGGATGGATAAGTATGGTACTTTGATGTAAAACATACATGGTCCCTATCCTTGGTTGTTGGCACACAACTCCTAAGTCTTTGGATCATAGGACGTTTTCAGGTGCAAATTTTGTGTGGATATTTTTAATTCCAAAAATAAAGCTGGTTCTTTTATTTATCAAGTCCATCTTAACCAGGCCTTATTGTATGCTAGTGAGATGACTCTTCACCAGTCCCCAAGATTGTTTCAAAATGGGACCGACCTTGTGATCAGACAGTTGGAATCCTCACTCCCACTCCTTCAGAAATGGAAAAGAGCTGAAGACTGAGTTCAACCACCAGCAACCATTACAGATCCTGCAGAGAAAGTTCAAATGTGGGTTGAACTCAATGGGGCTTTCAAGTGACAGGACAGGGTAGCTACCACTAATGACAGGATCCATTTAGTAATTTTAAAAGTCCCCTAATGCTATTTCCCATGGTTATTTGAGATGTAGTAAGTCACAGTGGGAGAAGGAAGAAGTGGTTATTACCACTAAGACATTACCACCTGTTTCCAGTTCCCCTCGGGGATGAAGAAACACAATCTATGGTGTTGAGCTAACTGACTGTCCAGGAAGAAAAAACATCCCCACCTCACCCTGCTAAGCTCTATAGAGGCAAAACTGCTCTCTGCTTCCTTACCTGTCTCCAGCATGTGCTCCCCTAGCTGACTTCTGTCTGGACCATAACACCCTGCTGGAACACACTAGCCTCTGCTCCCTTCATCTACCAGATTGTGCCCGTATGCCCTTAATAAAGAATGCTGAAGAGATGGAACAAAGTCCAGCCTGAAGGCTGTCCTGAAATAAAATATAACAGTGAACAAAAGAAAGCAAGTTAGTAGGAAAATAAAAATCAAAGCAGATGTGCAGACAAATATAAAATAGGAGTCTATCCAGAAAAAATGCAAGAACTCACTATGGAGAATATAATAACCACTGGGGATTAAACTAGACGCATAGAGCAAGCATACTTGGAGACCAGGACAATGGGAATGCTATTTTGTTTTGACTGAACCTCTTTTTAAAAAGACTGCTTCCTATTGAACCTCGCTAATTAGAAATTCCCTATAAGCTATGCTTGGGACTCTGCTCAGACCCTGAGAAAATATCAAGATTCTAGGAATTTCCAAAGGCAAGAGACTAAGGAGATCAAACTATTTATAAATAAAGTATTTATAGGTCCACAATGCCTATGTCTTGAGTCCTCAATTCATGATACCTCCCCTGGACTGACGTCAGCTGTCCTGCCGACTGTTCTGGTTCACAGGAGCTTAGTTGTGGCTTATTTTTTATTGTTTGCAGCTTCCCAAAGTGTTAGCTGCAATGCTCCAACCCTCTGATAAGGACTAAGAACAACCAAAAGGCACACTAACAATTCTAGACCAAAATTCATTTCAGATTCTAATGACAGCTTTGACCTAGTTAACAGATTTTTTTCATAAATACATTAATTCAAAAAATTATAAATGTTGACTCCTAGGTAAGATGATAAAGGAGAAGTCTTGTCAATGAACTCAGGGATCAGTCAAAATGATACACAATGATCTCTTTTCCTG